ATATATATATATATATATATATATATATATATATATATATATATATATATATGCATAAGAAAAAAATTGCCTGAGTTTGAATGTGTTTAGATGTGTCATATTTTCATAGACTATTTCTACGACCTCTATCATATAATTTTTTCTTAGGGTACCCTATTTGAACAATGCTACATAACATGTACCCAATTTTTTTATACTTTTTTTTTTTATTGATTTTAGATTTTAAAAGATATTGAACTTTTTTTACACGTCTACAAAACTTCAAAACAATTTTAAGCATTCTATGTCTGAAATTTTATATGGCTTAAGCTCAATCATTTCTGGTTGAAGTTAAAGCAAAAAATAACTAAGTTCAGCCACATGGATGATAATGGCTAAACTCAGTCATATATGCTTGAACTTCCGTCAAATAAAACTTCAAATATAGCATGTTTAAAGTGGTTTAATTACAAAGTAGGTAAAGTTACAAGTTTTTTAGATACTACGGATATGATTTTACGGTGGTCCCAAATTCTGGTCTATGTATACTTGAGCTCTCTATCACAAACACAAATGTTTGAATATATGTAAAACATCAGCAACATAATAGACACTACGAAACTGACATTACTCAATTGAATAAACGCAAACCGTCAATACATCAAGCAAAGCCAATACTACTAAACTTGAATGGATTGACAGTTCATCTTTTAGCCAATCAAATGATAGAAGAAATCAAGTCTATCTTGCAGTCATTTGGGAAATATATCCAATCACCTTAGTGTTGAACAAGTTAGAAATAGGGAATTGATGATATAGTTATACTTTGCTCCTTTACAAAGGCTCTTGTGACTGTTTACTGGCCAGGAATTGACAAAAGAATACACTTTCAATTTGCTTCATCATTTATAGCAACACCGTGAATGCTGTAGGTATCCACTTAATATCTTAAATAGGGGGATTATCAAGCTCCTTTATTACCTTTAAGATTTATGACAGCAAGCTCTTGTTCAACATATTCACCGGCACAAATGGGAGGATACTTGCTTGCAAGAGAACTGTCTGAAAAATGCCCTAAAGGTTTTAGCACTGCATCTGATGCTATGTGTGCAAATAGCTAGGTAAAACAGAAAATGAATCCAAGTTAGTATCACTTTCAACAAGTCAACCTTCAAACAAGTGCAACTTCTGCAATTGAAATTAAAAAATTGACCCAGATAAAAAAAATAATTCAGCCTAATTTCCTCACGCACCGTTGAGGATACTCTCCACAGACTGCAGTTTTGCTCCAGAGCTTGTTTAATCGCATCAGTGGTCCTATTAGTTACAACAACTTCATGCATGCCAGCCATGCATTCTCCAGCGGTCAACCATTCTATCTGAGTATATTATTGAACAATACGTTTAAAATTGTAGCAACTGAAACTACAACCAATATGCGAGGAAAATAGGGATACACTTATAAATCAAATTGACCTTTCAATCTATGATACAGATCTTGCAAATTGAATATTTTAAGATATATCTTGATTAGAAAATTTAGCATTTTAACATTACATTTAAGCCAAACAGTACCACAGAGCTAATATTGAACTGAGAACAACAAGCTCTAATTTTCTTATAAAAGTGAACATACTTAATCAAACATGACATTTGTCTTACTTTTCTCCAATAAAAATGGAAAAACATAGGACCACAGTTTACTATTTCACCATGCCAAGGAAAGAGAGCACAGTGGTTGCATAATCATCTTAAGACCATGTTGATGTTGATTGCTGGAGCTTAGCAGATTTAAATGTTAAATGCATTAATAATGTCGAGAAAATAAGGAAGTGCATCAAATACTTTATACCTGCTTTCCTGCCTGAATAAGGAGGCATCCTACAGGAACCTTCACTTCCATTTTTAGCCCATTTCTAAGCCAAATACTTAGTCCAGGAAATCGACTTCTCCCATGAATAGTAAGGAAGTTCAGGTCATAGTGGTATCCTGCAAATACTGTTCCCTCTTTTCCATAACGCCTCAGGTCACTTCCTGTTGGAGCAAGCAGATGTGGTCCCTGGAAATTAGAATTAGTCATAAAGAGATGAACTAATAGAGCAAAAACATCAATTCTAGAAATTAGAATTAGTCATAAAATGATAGCAGAATAACATTTCTAGAAAATATTTTTAAACTCGCAGAACATACTATGCTCATACACCCCTGAACATTGGTAGTGGGTCCAAGTACCAAGCTTAATTCAATAGAGAGAGACGGCCAAATTTTCCTTTGAGAAAACAAATAAATCTGTTTTCTGGTAATTTTCTTTCTTGTCCAAACCATTTTAAGCAACATTTCACTCGTAAAGCAAGGAAATGCCAAGAGTTGTCTCATTTTTATGATCCATTTCACTACTCACAACAAGGATCCAGACTATACGGAGAGGATTATCAGTGAGAGACGAAGGATGGGAAAATTATCATGTATATGTATCTAGTTCATGAAGTTAAGGATAAGATTAGGACATCGATTACTCAATTGCCAAATTTGAAATCTTAACAACCTTCCAACTAATCTAGTGGGAGAAGCTCTCACTTCTCTCTACCTTTTCCTTTTCGAGAATTTCCCCAAAAGGTTCTAACGGTCATCTTGAAAGCAAACTGCTCTCCATCGACTTGTTCAGGAAAGATCTCTGTCCTCCACACCAGCTCCCCTGACCCGGTCTAACCCCAATTTCAAGCCTCTCCACTGCTAATTCATCGAGGAGAAATCATTACCAAAGCTATCACTCCTCAAATTGGGAGAATTTCTGCTCTCAGAAACCCTCTAGCTGGGGATAACTCCTTAATTTTCATAGCTGTACTTGGTGGTCCAGGCAATAATGGCAAAGCTACAAAGAAATAAGTTCGCCTCAAGTATGATTTGTCTGATGAGAAACCTGCGGTTAGTTTCACCAAAGAAAAACGTGCTATGTTGGCTGAAACCTGTTGTCTGAAGCGTTGGTAAATTTCAACGAATCAGATTATCCATCTAAAGAATTTGTGCCAACTTCCTCAAATCAACCCCTCTTAAGGGTAAGGTCAAGATTAGTGCATATCTATCTATACTACCTTAAAAGCATGAACTCCTAAATTGAATGTTAAATTACTATAATACCCCTAATTAAAATACTTTATTTATTTTATTTATTAATTTAATTATTTGTATTATATAAAAAGTAGATACCCTTTCATATTAAAAAGTTGTGACTTTTCCAAAGGGTTATGACATTTTGACGGGTTTTGACATTTTCGATGAGTTGTGACTTTTGTGAAGGGTTGTGATTTTTTCAAAGGGTTGTGACTTTTCCAAAGGGTTGTGCTTTTTCCGATGAGTTGTGACTTTTGCAAAAGGTTATGACTTTTTCGATGAGTAGTGAATTTTTCGAAAGGTTGTAACTTTTCTGATAAGGCACAATTAACACCTATTCATACTACTATTTGTTAGCTATAAATAGAGGGGCTTCCTCTCACTTTTAAACTACGATTTTTTTAAAGTTTTCAACTCTTCTTCTTCTTAAATAATCACAGGGTTATTTGCACCAAAATCCAATTGTTCCATTTTCCTTCTTGTTCATCAATCTGAAATCAAGACAAACCGGGCACTACGGCAAGACGTGAAAACACCCGATCCCATTCCGACCTCGATATGTGGAATCGTCTTGCGCCATATGTACTGAGATTGTTCGGGAGACATGGTCCAAGCCCGGTGAAAAAATGAAATAAAAAAAGATTATGATTTGCAACAGTTGATTAAGTTCAAAGTTCAACAAAATTCGAGGTACCACATAAGAAAGAGTTGGTGAACAAATTGTAGCAAATCATTCATAAATTCACACTCGTATTTTTCTTACGGTTTTCATGAGTTAATAGTGACGAAAAGTTGTGGGAAAGACAATAATAATAAACAAATATGAAAATAGTCACATGATTTGGGTAAGATATTTCTTCTTTGTTTTTTTGAATTATTTTTTTACCCTCCCATGAAGGAGTTTCTTTCTACTTCGCTAAAACAACGGGCATCAATGTAGTCTATTGAATCATTAGTTTTGATGTTAATTCCACTATTTCAAAAATAGATTTTCACTTTTACTTATAATATGATAATATAGTCATGATAATAATTATTTTTTAATAGATATGTAAGTAAAAATGAACGGAGAAAGTAAAGTGGTGGTGACAAGAGATTTTAATCAAATGGAACACTATAGTGAATATAGCATGATCATATAGTTTCGTCTTCCTATGTATCGTTCAGTATATTTTTTTAAATATTTATATTGAGTATGGAATTTTTTAAGTATAAATTTCTTGTTATTTTGTGTTCATTTTAATTTGAGAAAATGGTATGTCACAAGATACACTCCTTGCTAGCTATATAAAATAGATAAGAAAATAGTGATTGATCATAAAATAATCTTAAATCAAATTAAAGATTCTATAAACAATCCTTCAAATTTTATTCTTCTATTAATTTTTATTATTTAAAAATTTTAATATTTTATATCACGATACAACTTCTATAAGATACTAGATACTTTCATTAGACAACAAGTAAAAGATAGATTGTGTATAAAGATAAAATATTGAATATTTATGGTAATCCTTATAGTGTCATGCATATACTAAATTTCAAATATAAATATTTAAGAGAAAGATTATGCTTAAATGGTGTCCATCATTTATGTTCATAACCTCATGAGGAAAGACTATTGGTGACATATTTTGTATTGATATTTTTTTAAAATTTTATTGGTTAGATTTGATTACAAAATTTAGTAAAGTAAAAAATAATACTACTAAAGAAATGTCACTTTCTCCCCATATTTAAACTTTGAATGTATTTTGAAATGTTTCAATGATATCTGGTCATTTTGATATCAAAATACAAGTAACTCTTTGACAATTTGTATTAATCATTTAAAAGCACTTGTCCTATGTTCTTTAAACTATAATTATTTACTTAAAAATTTAATTTAATAATATTAATTCTATTTTACAACATCGTATACTATATATACATATACACGTGCAACGCACGTGCCGTGAAACTAGTATTTTGATGTATTCCCTTCTCTATTCCAGCATGCTAGAAAATCTGAGGTGTGTCTTGGCATGGACCAGTTGATTCCCTTCAAATTCAAAAAGACCCGACACAATTTCTGTGTCACTCTGCAATGGAGGAAGATATGGTTTGTTGTCTCTGTTTCTATTTCACAAAAAAAGCACCTGGAGCATAACTGTCTTTCCCTTTTCATTAGATTGTCCTGAGTTAGTACTTGTCACGCCCCGAGCTACCCCCAAGACGCGGACACGGGACCTAGGACCACAAGTGATCCCAAGCTAACCCTGTTGGCATAATCATGAGCATACTAAAGATAATAATAACTGATGCGGAAGCTAAATCATAAAGTAAGTTTGAAATGATGGGGAATACCCATATACTATATCTGAGATATATGAAAACTGATGAGTTTAATACAAAGAAGATCTTAACTCAACACTAAGCTGAATCTAACTATGTCTGAAATAAGCCTCTAAACTGACTAGAAATGTTGGGACATGCCCCAACTAGATCTAGCAAAACTGAAACTAAAGACTAAAAGCGATAAAGATAAACATGTCACTAGTCCTCGAAGAACGAGGACTCACCACTGATGCTGCTGAACTGAAGATCGGGAATCGATCTAAGCGTGATCTGGATGCTGAGAACCTGAACCTACATCACGAGAAGATGTAGCGCACGTATGCATCAGTACTTTTCAGGTACTGAGCATGCAGGATAGAGTA